TAATGATTATTTTGATTTCTATAAAATAAAGTTCTAAATAAGTATAATCTTTCAATACATTTCTCGTCTTTTTTTTTTATTGTTGTAACTTGTAATACTTACATTAAAACAACATTAATTTATATTGTTTAGCTGAAAGTTGCGACTACGAAAAAGATTATTCTTGTGGTATATTTTATCTTTGTTGTTTTAACTAGTAATAAATTAAATTTCTATCAAGGTATTCATACTAACATTGAAGATGCAGTTAAATTTCATCATTTATCCTAGATTTTGTTAAAAGTAAGGTTGATGTTAGTAAAAAACTTTAATCTTTTGTTTTTTAATTATTTCTTTAAATTTAATATATTTCATTATAAATATTTAAAATATGAATTTTATTTTCTGTTTATCTGATGCCTGAATTTTTAAATTTTGTTTAGTGTATAAAGATTCAAAAATAAAAGGTATGCAAGTGTTTTTAAAAATATTGTTTTTCAAATGAAGTTGAAGATTTAACATTATTACTTCAATTATTAATTTAACCCACATAAGTAGCAATTCTTACCGAACAAGGGGTCTAAAAAATAAGGTGTTGTTTTTTTTCTGATGAAAGAATATTTTTATTCCATATTTGCTGTTTTTAGATTTGGATATATTTCAAAAAGAATTAGGCAATTGAAATGAATGTTTGTTTTAAAATATTTTATTTGACATTATTTTAATATAAATTTTATATTTTCCCAAAAAATGTGTTTTAAAGTGAAAAGATTGGAATTTTCCATTTTTATATGATACTTTTTCTTTAGATTTGGATTTGATACAGAAAGAAGTCGGTAATAAAAAAAATAATTTTCTTTGAAAAGTTTCTTTATGGCATTTATAATTTTTTTAAATTTTTTTTCTGATCCATTTTCTTTTTTCTTTCAGAAAATAAAGAACTGAAACTTGGTATAAAACAAATATTTTAAAACTCAATAATGATCTTGTTTTCCAAAAATGTTTTACAGTCATTATTTATAAATTTTATTTACTTTTTTTTAGCTCAACTGGAAGAAAGAATCAAATTAAGTAATGTTATTCTTTATTGTCTTTTATGATTGATAATTTTGTTTTATGATAATTTATGCAATTTATCAAAAGCAAAAAAAATTCGTAATAAATATATTTTATTTCTCTCAATAGTGGCAGCAAAAAAGGAATTAGGTATTTATTCATTTTTTTTGTCTTCGAAATTATCTAAATTATAACTTGTTCAATAAATGTAATGTCTTATTTAAATATTCCTAATTATGTACAAAAATTTCAATTGTGCTTACATATTTTCTAGATAAAAAGATCTTGGTTTTAGGTAACATTTTATGTATTAGCAAATTCTCGCTATAAGTAAAATGTTTATTTTTAACTTTCATATATATTTTTCTTTTTTTTGTTTAGAAAAGCAAGCTTTGCTGTTAGGTATTATTTTTTATGGAGTGTGCTTGATAAAGTTTAAATAGTGTCTCTCTCAGCTCGTTTAAATATAATAAAGAGTGAAGGAGGTAGCGTAGGGGCTAAAATATTATTGGAAAGAGGGACAGTCTGGTAGTTACCCTTCCATTAAACTAAATTTTTACACCATTAATAAATGTTGTAAAGAGATATTTAATTTTTTTATATAAATAAAATTATTTAATGAAGTTTAAACTAATTATAAACAAGGCAATATAATAAAGTTTACTGTTTTATATAAGATAATTATAATTATTTTAAATAGCACTTTTAATTTCAATTTTATGTTAAATAAAGAAACAGATAAACCTCGAGAAAGTAAATAAAATTTTGTTTTACTTGAATTTTTATTTTAACATTTAATCGTTACAAAATTTATTATAAAAATTGTTATTAATCAATTTTGATCTATTATATTATTTAGAGAAATCAGCGCTTCCGGAAACAACGTCTTCTGATGTAGAGCCAAAAGTAGAAGTGCCACCGGCATTACTCCCATTGGAGAAAGGTAATATATTTACATTTTATAATCAATAAATTTTTAGGCTTTAACTAATAACTGTAGTTATAAATTTGTGGTTAACATGAATGTTACTAAAAATTCTTTGGTCAATTGAACTTGGACCGAAACCACGACGAATTACATACTATTTATTTATTTTTATTATTAGAATTGACGTGGAATGACTTTATGGCATGGCGCCGAACTCACCTAGGGCCGAAAACAAGAAGGGCATTTCATTTTTGGATCGGAAATGGTGGGCGGGACTTGCCGACTTTTACCTGGCGAAGAGTGAATGCTGGAGCCAGAAGGGGTGGCTCTAGCCACCCCTTCTGGCCCTCAACGGGCCAGAAGGGGTGGCTAACCCTGAATTCCCCTCACAGGGGGAATTCAGGGTTTGTGATAAACAACTACTCGTATTCGTAAATTTGGTTTTTTTAATGTGTTAGAGTTAATTAAAAATTTGCGGTCGTTGTATAACGACTGCTTTAAAAGAATAAATACTAGTTCATACAGCCTCCACGTCCGTAGTACATTATTTTTTTTTTCCCCTCATTAATTTTAGGTGCTTTAAGGTAACGCTTCTTAACCAGCCTAATGGTTGCAACTTAATACACCTTATACACCGCACTTAACCAGCCTAATGGTTGCAACTTAATACAACCTTATACACCGCACCTTCAGCTCGGTACACAAAAGACTCGATTTTGTCAGAAGGAATGGAATCGAAAAACTTTAAAAGATATTTTTTCTAACACTTAAAATTGTTGTTTATAAAATGCAAAAAACCGTTTTAAAAAAAATTGTAAAATGACTGAGATATCTTGTTTTAAAAGTTGGGCAAAATTTTAGTTGTGACCCGTTATTCAGCGATTACTTGATTATTTTTTTTTACATTCTAAGCCTTCTAAAATCGAGGTTACTCCTTTATTTGGGGTTATTCCTTTATTTTAAAATAAATAAAGGAGTAACCTCGATTTTAGAAGGCTTAGAATGTAAAAAAAAATAATCAAGTAATCGCTGAATAACGGGTCACAACTAAAATTTTGCCCAACTTTTAAAACAAGATATCTCAGTCATTTTACAATTTTTTTTAAAACGGTTTTTTGCATTTTATAAACAACAATTTTAAGTGTTAGAAAAAATATCTTTTAAAGTTTTTCGATTCCATTCCTTCTGACAAAATCGAGTCTTTTGTGTACCGAGCTGAAGGTGCGGTGTATAAGGTCTTTGTCCAAATTACGAAGGCAAAGACTGACTCTAACTTTGAGTTGAGTGATAGTTTTAGCCTGCCAGTCCTTCTCATACACTTTCTGCTTCAAAAATCCTCAATTGGCCTGACTTTCGGGACGTTTGCTGTGTTGTCTTGTTTTTGTACAAAATTGACTTTTTTGTCTTTAAGGTCGGCGTGGACTGAGTTTGCATAGTGGGAGCTAGCTAAATCGGGCCAGAATACGTATTTACCATCCCTATAGTATTTGTTAATAAAAGGAAACAACCTCTTTCGTATACACTCGTCACGGTAAATATATTGATTGATTGCCAGGCCAGACTTAAAAAATTTGACACTACTCATTCCTCGAGGTGAAACTGCCACCCAAACAAGTAGTTTTGACTCGTATTTTGCCTTCATTTTGTTCTTCACATCAGTAGGAGTCTTTTGAATATCATCTGAGTAAAATCGGTCATTCCCAGCCAAAGTTGTGTTGGAAAGAGTGAAGTACGATTCATCATCCAAAATAAAATCGACATCACGAAATTTTAGGAAAAGTCGTCCACACTTTGGCCTTGCTAACTTGACTTGTAAGGCTGTCATCTTTGGTTTGACGGTGCGTTTTAGACATCTGATATTTGTTCTTTGCAATAGCATCTTTGAAACGTATTGCTGAGTCGTTTTTAGCTTGCTAGCTACTCTTTTCTGTGAGCAGCCCTTCCGATGATTGAAGAAATTTTTCATCTTACGTATGTTGTTTTCAGTCGCCGTAGTGGTCGGAGGACCGCTTCCTTTTTCCTAGTTAGTACTTTATTTTGTTCTAGCATGCTAAGCCAATGATTTAAAGTCCTTTTTGGAGCTCCCATGCTGATAAATTTATCAAAAATATGTTTTCGCCCCAGTCCATGGTTTTTTTGATAGTATTTATACAAAATGAATTTTAGATCTTCATACATTATAGCGTGATATTTTTTGAACTACAAATCATACGAACTATTTAAAAATATATTCGAATAGAGAATGCTTTTGAGTATATTCTGTTAAAATTTTAAAAATATACACAAAGCAGATCTTTATTGACATTATCCCAAAGTTTGGGCAAAATTTTAGTTGTGACCCGTTATTTTTTGAAATTTTAAGTAGGCCGCACTTAAAATACACGTAGTAAGCATGTTATAAGTAGGGCATATCGTCGCTTCATAGCAAAAATGTTCTATCTACAAGTTTTGAAAAATTGAGATGAACGTGTAGATAAAATACTATCCGTATTAATTTAAAGGAAATATTTTGAAATAAATATAAAGATTTGAATTATTATTAATTTCTGAGAAAATCATTTTATTATAAGTAGCAAAATTTTGATTTGTGATATCTAAACTAAGTTTGTTTTCATTGCCCTGAAAAATGCAAATTTTGTAGATAGAACATTTTTGCTCTGAGGCGACGATATGGTATTATTTAAAAAACAAAAATTGTTTATGATTTAGCTAAGTTGCTGTTGAAAGCGTAATTTAAGTTATGGGGGAAACGCTATTTTTCAAATTAAAGTAGAGGAAGGAAAAATTCTCAGATCAATATAATAGTGCAGGTAAAATGTTCGAGGAAATACCAAATCTGGCAAAGTTTTAAAACATAGTAATTGCTGTGTGGCGAAAATCATCAGTAAAAAAGTAATGAAAACCATCAGATTCGTAATTGCCAAGGTGATAAAAGTATAACTAGGTTCAGCTCATAAAAATGCAACAGCAATATATTTATATATACACATATATTAGCAATTCCGCGATAGTGACAGTCATAACGTTTGACAATCTTTAAGTTATTAAAAATGAATCAAAAACGGAAATGACTTGAAACTTTCAAGAAATGTGAAATACTATCATATAATTTTGTACGTAAAAGTTACAGCATTAAAGTCTTCAACTTTTTTCTAAAATTAAGTAAGTAGTAAAAAGTAGCGTGACGGTCTTAACGCTTACTTTTCACTACTTTTGAACAAAACGACTTTGTCAGATATAATGCAGCAAACGGCATGGTAAAAAAAAATATTATTTTGATGTGTGTATTTAGCACATATAGATGTCATTATATGTTGAGTTTCATAGTTTTTACTTGAAGTTTTGCAAGGTTTTTTTTGTCGTAACGAAAAATCCAATGCTTAAAAACAAGAAATATAACAACACAATCAATAATGTAAAAAAATTATAAATAATTATTAACAACCATATAAAATATGTTTAAAAAAGTGCAATAAAGCATTTTCAATTTTCAATAAAAGTTTTCAATTATGGATATACGGTAAGATTTTTAACACTACCCAACAGGACTGTAAATAAGCGTCAAAACACCTTTGTACGACCCTTGGAACTTTAAAACCATACTATGGTATGATAAAATGATTTTTTTAAAGTTTTTGCTTAAAAGTATTTTAAAATAGTTTTATAGTTTAGCATGTGTCATAACTTTTTCGTTTTTTTCAATATATGTATATATATATATATATATATATATATATATATATATATATATATATATATATATATATATATATACACATATATATATTGGTTGCAAATGTTTTGTCCAATACTGTATATACCCTTATCTCGTAGACGTAAGAGTATTTTAATATAAAAGTCATTAATTATACAGTTTTGCTACCGCAGCGATCAAACAACAATTTTTTGTGGTCAGAATGTTAAAAACAATTAATTTAACGATTTTGCATTAAACTATTTGGTTTTTTTAAAAAACCACAATATTAACGACTGGAATTTTTTTTTAATTAGCAGTGTTTTTTTTTTTTTTTTTTGTATATGTTTTGTTAATATATAGTTTTTAAATATGCGCGGAGTGTTGCTACATCGACTATCTTATAGCCTGACTCGCTATGGAGAGCTGCTGCATCGACTGACAAATAGCCTGACTCGTTATAGAGCGCTGCTACATCGACTGAGGGTTTGGTTTGGGCAAGCTATCTATCATTTAAGAAAAAAAAAATTATTTAATTAAACTTTTAAATTGTTTCAAGTTTGCAATCTCTTTAAATCTACCGTTTATGGGAAACTCTCTTTTACGACCTTGCAAGACTATATATATATATATATATATATATATATATATATATATATATATATATATATATATATATATAATATATATATATATATATATATATATATTTATATATATATATATATATATATATATATATATATATATATTTATATATATATATATATATATATATATATATATATATATATATATATATATATATATATATATATATATATATATATATATATATATATATATATATATACATATATATATATATATATATATATATATATATATATATATATATATACATATATATATATATATATATATATATATATATATATATATATATATATATATATATATATATATATATATATATATATATATATATATATATAGTATTAGACAAAACATTTGCAACCAACATGGAACAATGCTAAAAAGTGTTCCGAATTTTACGTCTTAAAAACGAAACGAACTATACTACCACAGCAAACAGTTCTGGAGTCATAGCATGCCATGACATGAGCAATCAGCTGACAGGTGACAGCACACAGGCAGAATTTCGTTGACAAGTGCCATTTTGCAGCAGAAAAAACAAGTGCAACTTTTTTGGTTTGTTTCATTTTCTTAAGTCTGGTTCGTGTCATTGTCACGGAAATTTTTTAATAATTAAAGGAAGTATCCAGATGTTTACAGAAGCATGCAGAAGCTTCCAGAAGAAGCATCTGGAAACATCCAGAAGTATCCAGAAACATTCAGAAGCATCGAAAAAAAGCATCTAGAATCTTCCAGAACAGCTTCACACAGGTTTATTCTACTATATAGGAGACATGTAAACCGACATGTAATTCAGTCAGTATATGGAAGTCAGTTAGTCAGTATTACGAAGACAGTTTATCGAAGTGAGTTTTATCAAAGTGTTTTATCGAAGAACATCAATACAAGAAGTGAAATACAACAAGTGTTTTATTACATCAATAAAGTCCACATCCAACCAAGACGTTGTATTCCACAGAGCATTATTGTATCATCACAAGGTAAATGTAACACGGTAAGCCTTGAGAAGCGTGATTATTTAATTTTATTATTTTTATGACTTCAAGTGCAAAAATAGCTCCCGACAGTCTTGGATTGGAACTTAGAAAGAAAATTATTGTCGATTACGTAAGTGGAATGTCAAAAAAAAGTATTAGTGATAAATATCGCGTGAAAAAATGGACCGTATCCAGACTGATAAGGTCCA